ACACATACATTAGACATAGATACCCACACATCCATATACACACATAGCAGATACACACATATGCCACAGACACACATACATTCGACATAGATACACACACATCCGTATACACATATACATACACATCAGGCACAGACACATACACATCAGATACACACACCATAGAAACACACACAGACACACATACATTAGACATGGACACACATATGCGCATGCGCGCGCACACACACACACACACACACACACACACACACACACACTCCTGTCTTACTTCTTGTCACCAAAGCTGAGTTCCTTCCTCACAGAGCATCTGCTGCTCCTACCTCGTCCCCTGTGCTAATCTTCTCTAAGAGCACATCCCCTCATCAGCCCCTCATCCCCTGTGGTCGCCCCAGCCCAGTCCCATCAGGGAATGCCTTCCTCTTCCTTCCCATATATTACCCCATCTTTTGTTATCACTTGACATCAAATCAATCTAGTAATGGTATCAAGAATGAGTGTTTCATGGTATTGCCTCCTTGTAGGGCACAAAGACAGAAAAGGGCAGTTTTCGAGGAAAATGGAAACAAAAAGGCCTGAGTTACTAGTGTCCAAAAGCCTTTATAAAAGCCCACAGACATTTCTTCTGGATTTAAAAACAAAAACTCTTTGCCTTCGTTAAGTCTGAATTTCTTTGAATATCAAATTTAATTTTATAAATCATGCAGTTGTGAGTGGTCCTCTCTGCTCTAACGACTAGTTTACTGCTGTAGATATCTTGTGTTTATGAGTTAAGTGGCTTCGTTGCTACTTTGCAACAAGAGTGTGCTAAAAATATATCCCTGCCCCAGCCAGAGAAACTTACAGATAAATTAAAATCATTTTTCAACTCACTAATGATGATACTCTGCAGAACTATAACACCAAAAAAAGCATGACCTTGGTACAAATGTCCTCCCACTTGCTATATTCTACACACATACAAAAAAAGATTAGCAAAGATCAGCTAACGAATTCTTTGTCTTGACTTTAAGCAAATTTACCATTTCAAACAAATATCTTGAACAGTAAATATTCAGATTCTAGATGCTGGGCGATGCTAGTTCAAGTGCCAGCCCCACCATTTTATAGCCTCCTGTGCATGGCAAATCATTAGCCCTCACTCACTCCCTCACCTGTGAAGAATGGTGGTATAACCATTTGGTTGGCATACTCGGGGAATGAATGGACAAGTCCTGCCATCATCACCAAAATGGTGAGCTAGAGGGAATCTTGGTAATGTAGTCACACATACATAGATAAACACACACACACACACACACACACACACACACACACATACACACACACAAATGTTTACTGATCGCCAGCCGTGTGGCATGTGGCAGGCATCTCTCCGAACAGTGGGACTCTCTCAGTGATGCAGCAGGGTCCTTCTATCAGAGTGGACCGCACTTAGAAAACTAGCTTGCCCTTACAAATTGTTCTGTGCGCTGATGAAAACTGTAAAAATGCTGTTTTTAAACTATATTCCTTTCAGCCCTAACACCAGATAAATTTGGGGGTAAAATTGAATGAATCTCTGCTTTCCTCCCCATATTTCTCTTTTCCAAACGTAGAAGGTCCACCGTGACGTGAGCATAAGGGTACTGCTTATATATTTATCTACCCATATTTGGCACCGTAAATGTAAGGATAAGGTAGTCACGTCCAAGCATTAGAAAACCCCTAAGGAAAACCCCTTTCTACTTCTCCTTTATGTTTTTCTAGGGAAGGTGGTGATATATTTTTATCATTTATTAATGAAGGTGGTTAATTGTTTTCATGAGTCTTAGACCATGCTAAAACCCCTTCAAGTGTTATCTTGCCAGATTCTTGGAAAATACCGCTGACTGAGCCTTCATCAAAAATATAGTCAGCTCCATTGATGTCTGCACCTCCCTATGTGTGTGTATATGTTGTATATGTGTGTATGTGTATATGAGTATGTGTGTGTACATATGTGTGTGCGTGCATATAGGTAACATTAGGTTTCACTTTGCCTAGAAATTTGTTTTGTTTCTATCATCTCATATTCCTAAGGACAATAGCATGCAAGTGTTCTCTTATCTGGGGGACTCTTATCACCTGGCTACCAACTGAAATCCCAGGTCACGCGGGAGCAATTAGCTTACAGCCTATACCCACAGGCTACAGCCCTGGCACAGCCAATGTCCCTGCGAGTGCAAAACCACTGGAAAAGGGAGCCTCACATCCCCACTCTGCTGAGGGGGCTTTACTGTTCCCTTTCTCCCCAAGGGCTCGTTTCCACCAAAGGCATCGGTAAACTCATTAGCTGTTTGTTTTCACTCGGCTGTTCTCCAGTGACCTCTGACCTCCTGTCTTATCACAGTATCTGCTGCCTGGAATACCGTATCTTTTAATACCCGGAGCCTTCATAGGATGTGGCTTATAAAACTGACCTTCCAGAACTTTCTGAAAGCTCTCCTGCTATGGACCCGTCTTGACCAGCAGGAGTTTCATGTGGAAGGGGAGAACAGGAGCTCGGCACCCATGCTCAGCCCACACTGGCCTTTCTCCTGCAGCTGTCGAGCTTGTCTTGAGGATGGAATGAGGGGGGAATCGGGTGCCGAAGAGGCCGTAGCTTGGTAGTTAGCATAGAACCTGTGGACAAGCGCCTCAGTCTGCACTGTCTTTCTTTGTAAAATGGGCCCACAATGAGACACTTAACTCCGGATTTTGGAGGATTAAACTGGGAAACCTGCGCATGTTCAGTGGAGGGAGCGGCTGATTGCTGTGTTACCCATCGTTCTCAGAACTCAGCATCTCACGGGATGCTCGGTGAGATGGTAGATTCCAGCAAGAGACTGGAGGAATGATTATGTCCTTGGAGTCCCCACTTGGTGGTCACAAAGAATTCACAGTCATGTGACTACGCTGTGTGGCAACTTCCTTGTGATGCTCTTCGTCTGTCAACAAGGTTGCATCTGTGGTAGACATTCATAAACGGAAACGGTCCCAGGCAGTCTCCACTCCAAGGCTCATTTGCAAATTTAATGGGAAGCAAAAGCCCTCCCTACCTCATGCAGGAGGGTGCCTTTAATTAGTGATGATTGAAGAGTGCTGTAAGTCAGTTGTGTTTTGTTGAAATGGCTCAAATCTGCTCCGCTAGGAGATAAGCGCCCCACACAAGAGCCCACATCTGCAGAAGTGGCTGGCACGGTGATTAGGTGTGCTGCTAACCTTTCACAAAGATTCATGTCATCTTGATTTTTAGACACAGCGGGGCCTGGCTCTCCGCGTGTCTTTGTTAGAGGTCCGCTGCCTTGCTTTGTGTCTTGCAGTGACCGCAGACAGCTTCTGCTTGTTCTTGGGTTTCCCGACAAGCCCTGGCCAGCTGCCAAGGACAGGGTCCTTTAGAATTTGTCGTCCGCATGCTATTTTTCAGGTTAGCTTTTGGAGTTCTGGGGGTCTAGTTCATTTGGTTTCCACCTCTGTGGCTTTCTGGGCTCTTCAGAATAAAATATTGCCAGTGGGGTTGGAGGCAAAACACAAACAATTTCCAGGACCCTGATCCTGATTCGGAGCTCCCAACGGGGTCCTTACATCTGCATTTCTAGCTAACTCACCGAGGATGCCGATGCCGATGGTCCAAGAATCATACTTCGAATAATTCTGCTTCATCCTTGTATCCTGACACTTCTAAGAGACACTTGGCTGTGGAGGTTCCCCCAGATGCACAGCCCTGTACCTTCACGCCTCAGTGACTGAATGAACGGAGGGGTGTTTGGCTTATCCAGGTTTTTAATTCCCACATTGCCTGGCTCTAGAGCAGCCTCCTCTTGTAGCTTCTTTCTCACCCTCTCCATACCGAGTTCCTGGATGCACCTTCCAGCTGCCTTCCACTTCCTTTCCAGGAGATAACCATGGGCTCCAACCTCTGCCACTGGAGCCATAAAAAGCCTCTGGTCCCCCATCCAAGTATGAAATGAGAGCTTTAGAATATAACTCACAGTTGATTAACAGCAAGAGTAATCTTAGAGGCTGGTTCACCTGTCGGGGTGTAGCTGTGGGAAAGTGGGAGCCACTTGTGTAATCCACACAGGCTTTCACTGACCGCTTCTCCAAAGCTGAGTCTCTGGCCCTCATCTGTGGGGATGGTCTGACTGTGGGATGGTGTCTCATGGATAGCTAACTGTAGTGTGAAGCTGATTGGCTGCTGGAAGATATGTTTGGAAATAATGATGTTTGGAAATGTGCCCATGGTGGGGATTTTGGTACAAAGAGACAGAACGGTATACTCTGTAAACTCTACCACTAACTTGCTGCAGTAACAGTGCCTGGCCCCGTGGCCTCAGTTTTCTTCGCTTTAAAACCCTGCCCCAGAACATTGTGTCCTGACTTGGACAGATCGTTACGCAAAGCACAGACTTTGGACGATGCTGACGGGCGCCACTGTCATGGCCGCCTGCAATATTCAATTTTCCATGAATTGAAACATTCGATATGAAAAGTCGATTGTCTTTTTAACAGGGACCTGGTAGATGCGGCACAGATGTGTTGGGTGTTCCTTCCCCAGTGAGGGAATGCTCTCATTCCCACTTCTGTCTTTAGGGTGTGTTCCAGATGTCCATGGGACTCATCCCTAGTCTCCTCAGGTGTCTACTCAAATGACACCTTCATGAGTCCTTCTCAGCCACCATTCAGAACGGCAAACCCCCCTCCCACTGGGAACGCCTCATGCCTTGCTTTATTTTCCCCATGACATTTATCCCACCTACCAGATAATTATTTGTAACATAGCTATTATGCCCCATCTTAGAATGCAAGGTCCCTGAAGACAGGTATTCACACCTTGATTTAAGTGTATCAAGGTGTCCCTAGGTTTCCAAAATCGGGTCCCTTATGTGGTCATTAGAGCCACTGGACTAAACTGAAAAAAGAGACAGTGATCACCACACCAGACACCTAATGCTAATGGAAGTCAGAGCTTAATTACCGATGGCTAACGAGCGTGGCATTTTCCCCGAAATAAGCCCTCTCATAATGTCTGTGTTTCCTTCCTGCTTAGCTCATGGTAAGCACTGATGATTGACAAGTGGGTCTCCCCTGCCAAAAGAGTGGGGTGTATTCATTCACTCAGGTGGAGGCTTTGCCAAGAGCTGGGATGTGCCCTTGGAAAGCCAGCAGGGATTTTCTAAAAATGTTTGTTTAAACTCTAAGAACGTGAAGCACCACACTTGGCATCAAGGACAATAAAGAAATGACAAGAAGATGAGAAGGTGAAACAAGAGACTAGTCCATCTTTTCCCTCTCAGGTTCTGCCTTTAGGTAACTGAACCTTGTGCACAGTAGAAGTACAGATGAGAAGGTGGTGCCATTGACTGGGGACACTGTGGGCTCTGAGCTAAGTGCTGCAGAGCCACAGCGTAGCATGGGGTCTGGCTGTAATTCTCCTCCTCCTTCCTCTCTTTAAGTCAAGTGGAGCCTTTGACGTCCAGAATTCTTTACTGATTCTCCCCCACTTTGCCAGCTTTGTATAGCATTGCCACAAGCCGTCAGAACCCTCTCTAGTATTGACCACGTTGACATCTACACAATTTCTTTGCTACTAGATATAAACTGTCGCCTCCAAATATTTACACTATAACCATAACATCAAGCTTAACACATTAAGTGTACAGATAGTTACCGATAGTTCATTTAAGAGGAATCATTTCACAACAAGTGAAAAACACAGGGCAGGTACTCATCTGTATTGAGAAATCACATAAACGAAATTGCCTTTAACCAGGAATAATGTCACTCATCCCGACTGCTCCTCAGATGGAAATTAGATAAAGAATAATGTTGTCCTACAGAGTCAAAAGAAGGTTTTTATTATCAGGTCCCCCATAAATAATAGAGACAAAGCCCTCTAAACTCCTGTCTGCCTTTCCTAACGTTAGCTGAGGAGGACTTTGTTCTTTTATGTTAGACTCTGCCTGCACATGCCCCTCTGGAAAGCGCACCAAGTCCAATCAAAATGGGCCATGACTTAAGCTCTGGCACTAACCACCAACTATTCTCCCTCATCAGGTTCCCACAACTGAGTTTCACTTCCTCTGTCCACAGCAACCTCAGATTTACCCATGTCCAACCTGAAGCCCCACATATCCAGTTCTTGTTCTGGAATGTGTTAAGAGCAAACCCTGCAGGTTCAGTGCGTTTCCCATTTTTCTCTTTTCACTCCCCCCCCCCATTTTTTTTTTAATCCCTCACATTTCTTTCCTCACTCAACATCACTCACTGGTCAAAGGCAACGGTGATAAAACGGGAACCAAGTCAGGTGCTTTTCTTCATTCTCCTCGTGTTTGTAACGTAGACACCTCTTTCAGTGCAGCGAACTCAGGGCTAGCATTGTCCCAAGTGCCTAAATGAACTACAGACTGTAAAATCTGGTGACCAGAGGAGTTTTAGTCCTTTGACCTCACTTTGCCATAGCAACATTTTATAAGATTCAAATGACAAGAATGTCAGAAGCCGGATTTCTTCCTATGCCTGGAGTATAGCTTCAGTAGTTCGGCGCTCTGTTTCCCTGCTTCAGACTTAGCATGGGCCTGTGTGAGTTGCATTATAATAAAAGTTACAAAGGCCAATATTTATTGTGTGCCAAGCCTTTAAAATCCATTACCTCATTGCCTCCTTCTAACAACTTTAATGCATTTTTTAACTGTCCATTTCATAAATGAAGGAACAAAGGGGTCAAAAACCTACTCAGGACATACATCTATTGACCAAACTGACAGTTTATGAGAATAAAATTATATGAAAGAGATTAAAATGCCACAAGATGTTAAATTATCTTCAAGGTGAAGCAGGGTCTCTATCAATGAAGGCATGGGGTTATTAGAAATATGTTTCCAGACTTAGAGCAGTAAAGTTGTGCTAAAACACAGTGATAGAATGCCTGGGGTGGGGCAGCTCCCGTTTCTCAGTTATCCAACTAGTGGTGGTTTGGAGCAGGAGGTTTTTAAGTAAGTGGACGGTTGGCCATGACTAGTACATGATCTTCACCTACCAAAATGGCCTCTGCTCTTCCTGTGTATTAAAAGGGCAGCAGCATGTCTAGGCTGCTCCTTGTGTGACCTCTCTTTCCCACATCCACACACACGTGATTGTGAGCTGATGCTCTAAACAGACTGTTTTGTGGGGTATTTTCAAGTTTCCATGGATAAAGATAGGGCCCACCAAGTCACCTTGCAGGAGCTCTACCGGAACTCTGAAACGAGGACCTTTTCTAACAAACTGCCATCTCTGCCAACCCCTGGCTGATGACAGTAAGCTGCAGGGGAAGGGCAAGCGCTTTAGTAGCCTATGGAAGTGGAGCAAAGGTCTTTTGTGTCCCTCCGATTGTGTTTCTACTCTGTTTACTGTTCGCCTCTGACTGAGAGAAGAGGGACTGGGCGTGGTTTTCTGTGCTGTAGTTAGCATCCATGATTTCCAATTCAATCTCAGCCCCCTGGGTATAAGTTCAGCTCTTATCCCTCAGGTTCCCAGAGTCTGATTGTCACCTCAGCCCGGCAAAGAGGGCAGCCTACCCAGGCTCTGGTGGGGCACTGACATTGTGGGCGGCTATGACACGTGTGAGAATTCATACGCTAGCATGAACCTCAGAGGCACCACGTGCGTGTTTATGTTGTTGTTTCGATTCTGTCGTTCATTTTAGTCCTTAAATGCCCTTGCCATTCCCAGGGAAGCGCCCGTCTTTGTGAAGAGATGTACTTTTGTGAGAACTCCAGCTATATCTTTGTCAGTTCCCGTGTCTTCCACAGACCATTATGGATAACTTACCGTGTGTCAGATCTTGTAGATGCCAGAAATAGAACCATGAATAAACATAACAGGCAAATTATAGCTACCCTCGTGAAGCATGTAGTTCAGCTGAAGAAGAGTAATTACAGAGAATATCAATTACACTTCTTTCCCCCAGTCTTGATTTTGAGGATCTACTAAAAACTGAGCCTAGACTCACTTCACAAATGACAACCAGACACCAAGAGCAGGGGTAACAGCGGCAGCGTCTGTGACTGTGTGGACATCACTCTAGGGAAAATTAGCTCCAGGACCTACATCAGGATCCTGGGCCCCTAGCTTCCCTTCCCTTCCTTTCTTACTGGACGGCTGTGGAGATGGAGCCTCCCCTTCCTTCTCCTGCACTGGAGATGAAGGAGAAAAAGACTCAGCCAACTTCAACAGAAAGGGCCAGGCCAGGCCGGCTCCTGGGCGGATGTTGATAACCAGGGTCAGCATAGTGCAGGCTTGTCCTGCTGGTCAATCTCATGCCTTTCCCTCCCACGGACCTGTGAGCATCCTGGGGTTCAGGCTATGGGGTATTAACTTGTCCTCAGATGGCACATCTACAAGTGACGTCATCTTCTTCTCACACAGGCATTCCTCCTACGGAAGGCTGCTGGACGACCATGACTACGGGTCCTGGGGAAACTACAACAACCCTCTCTATGACGACTCCTAACAAAGGAAGGTGGCTGGGCACAAGAAGTAGCTGTCCTTTATTTATAACTGCTTATCCAGTAGAATTAATAACAAGTACTTGATGCTCATTGAACGACAATCGCAAGCCCTGTTTTGTTGGTATGGTTGTTTTGTTTTGTTTTGTTTTGTTTTCTCCTCCCTCTCCTCTGGCTGCTACTACAACATCCCCCTTCTGGTACAAAAGAACCATTTTGTACAAGCCAATGGAGGCCGATTTGCAGCTGGCACGGGCCATTTTGCACTGACCAGGTCGGACACCATGAGATGGTGGCTGCAGCCCCCACCGCAAGACCCATCGGAAGGACTGAGGAAAAGGGCTCGGGCTGCCCTGTTGGGGATTTAATTTGAGGGGAACTTTTGGTTTGGGTTATTTCTTAAACTTCTCTATCGGAAATTACATGGAGGATCAGTGGGGAGAAGAGAAAGGAATCCCTGGAGGCTATCACCCTGTGTGGAGGAAGCAAGGGTTTCTTGATTTCTTTGTAATCCTTCTTTGCCTGGCTGTATCTGACAGGACGCCTACTTGGTCCTACAAGCAGATAGACAACTCTTAGCTGCCTAATTAGGAAAGATGAAAGACAGCTGTACCCAGGAGGAGACCAGCAGGCAAGAGCAAAGCAGCCCAGCGGGCTGCTGTCAATCTTAGCACGCTCTCAACCTGTTCTCCCCATGCAGGCCACTGGAAAGCAATAGGGATCCTAGCCCATTCCCCAACCAGGGCACCGGAAGGCAATGGGGATCCCAGCCCACTGGCTTTCAGAACAGTTACAGCACAGTTTCAAAAGAGAGACTGAGAGGTGAGCTGAAGAACAGTAAGGAAGAGGAATGTGGAGAATAAGGGTGGGGGAAGAAGGGAGGGACCAAAGCTCACAGGGACCCTCTTGAAGGAAGGAGGAGCCAGCTCCCCATGGTAGTGGGAGATACCTAAATCCTGGAGGAGCCCAGAGAACTCTCACTTCGCACACAGAAAGCAACAGGTGGGGAATGGGCTATATGCTGTTTTAAAATAATGTTTTAAAATACAGTTATCCTTCCATAGGAGGTAGACACCGAGAATTACGTGTTTATTCCCCCTAACATCTACCTTACTCATTCTTCCTTTTAATAAATGAACACCCCTGGATCTCCAGTCTCAAAATCCTGTACAACAAGTTTTGAGAAATAGACATTTTCCTTTACCGGCATTCATTTACTTCCCTTATTAACCTTCAGGGAATGATTTTGTCCCCACACCCACCCCGGCCAGGGACATTTGAACATGTCCGGTGGCCATTCTTTGACTGCTACTGCTTATCCTGAAACACGACTAACACGGCTGTGGCTCCTTTGCACAGGACAAGCTGCCACCACAAAGAGCCTCCTACCCAACACATCAAAGGCTGCCATTGAGGCCGAGATGTCTTGTGATGTCCCTGTGGTGTAAAAAGGCACTCGCACATCAGTAAAAACCCTTTCATTTTTAACAAAGTGAAAATGATGTTTTTTTTCTCCAGAGCGTTCACTCATTGACTGATAGGTTGCTTTCCGGCATGTGCAGTTGCTTTATATTGTTGCTGTTTCTAGAGAGCTTCGCTGCAGGGCTGCACCTCTGTTCAGCAAGATCTGATCCTGGGACCCAGCATCTTAGACCCCAATTTCATGTAGTAGAGAGCATGCGCCTTAAAATGTGTTACGTTGTCCTATGATGTCACAGAGAACAAGAAACCATCAGTTTTTAATTCCTCAGACAGATCCTGCCCTGTGATTCTGTTGAAAAAAATAAATAAATAAAAGAACACTCTAGTGCTATCGTCCACCCCTCCAGTGTGGAGATCACAAATAGGGGTACTGCCCACAACCTGCCATCCAGGTGCTGGGGAAAGATCTTCCCAAATCTCAGAGGTGCCAAAAGGAAAGAACGATCATCAGAGGTCATCTGCAAGCAGAGAGGGGTTCGCAGAGATTAAGATAACCCTGAATATGAACAGACAAGGGCGCGCGCATGTGTGCGCACACACAGACACACAGACACACACACACAGACACACACACACACACACACACACACGAACCTCCTCATAAAAACTACAAGGGTATGCCCTCTGGCCAAGCTTGACATTAACAGCTGTCCCTCATTGTTGCCTGATCGCTTCACAGGTCTCCAGTTAGGCAAAGGACAGGGCATTCTACATCTCATTTTCCTCCACCAGCCCAAAACCTTTTTGACACATGACACAAAGCTCTCCATGAAACACTTTAGGAGACTGTACTTCAGGAATCCCTTCCGGGATCAGTCCTAGGCCAGAGGAACCAGCTTCCCTCCCAGAGCCCTCACCTGTTAGAAACCAAGGACACAGAATTTTTTTTTTTAGCGCCAAAGGATGCCATTGTGCATGAACACGTGACTGCTTTTGCTCTGGTTAACTTCCAATTGCTTCCAGCAAAACACAGCACAGTCATACGCAGTGAGGTGACAGCATCCCCTCAAAACTCAAAGCATGACCCTTGCTTTGCTTGATAGTATAAAATATGTACATGTGAGAATTTACTTTGCCAAATATATTTTTCTTCTGTTTAATTGGTCTAGAGAGATCCCAGCATCTTTATTCTACAAATGTTGCCACACACACACACACACACACACACACACACACACACACACACACACACCTCTGACGTATATGCCAATAATTGATATCCTTTACCTCAGGGAGAGTTAGTTCAAGTCTGTACAAGGGAAATTAGTGGCCCTAGTGAATCTAAATAGTCACGCCCCATCATGGATAGGACTGGCTCTATGCTTTAGAGAGAAAGCCGGAGCAGAAAGCGAGCTAGGAGCCTCTTCTCAATGGACTGCAAGTAACCAGAGAATGATATGCAACTCTGTTTTCTTTTCCTGGGACCCTGGTGGGACCCCCAGTCCTCCCTGCACAGCTGTGTCTTCATTTATAAAATGGGGGTGATGCCTTCTGAGTAGTCTCGCCCCTTCCTAACTCACAGACATATTGTGAGGATTAATGAAATTGTGTCAACAGTGTTTTCATTTTCTGGAGAGAAGCTATTTATGGACATTTCAAGTATTATATAGATATATAAGTGATCTCAGTTTCTTATGTGCTGTTATACTGGCGTGTCATTTTTACTTATCCTATAAGCTCCAGTTAATGTCATGGCCACATCCGATGGCCATCAGCACTCTGAACTTCCCTCCCATGCACTTGCATGATGCAGGGTCACCTGGCCTGGAACCACAAAGGATGGTCTCCCCTCTGACTGTAAAGATGGCCCAGGACACAGGTCTCAGAGGCATGCATCAGGATCCAGGTTCAGGGATGCCTGAGCACTAATGGCAGAAGACCTCTGGCTCGTACACCCCGAGGTCTCCGAGGAGTAGACCGTTGTCTAATGTGATCTGTTTGCCCTTCATCTTGCTTGCAAGGGTGCATGGTTCAATCCTGTGCATCTTGAAAACTTGCGAATGGTCCGGATGCTAATTTGCACGTCGATTCACCTTTGCCTTTAACCTTCTTTTGAAGGCAAATGGATGTACCATTTCAACTTTGATCCTGGAAAGGTTAGCTGATATTCGCCCTTTGCCACATTTCTCTCTTGGACTAAGTTAGCTGACACTGTTGAAAGCTGAGAAGGTGTGCAACATCTTTGATATTTGATGACATCATATCTACATTTGTTATAAGATCTATTGCATACCAATTATCATTCTACCAATTAAAGTGGTTAAAAGCTTGTGTCTCGCTGTGGTGATTTACATTTTGAGATATTTTGCTATCCAGGCCCCTGGGTTCATTTTTATTGGTCATATTAAGTAGCTCCATCTTGTCCTTAATGAAATTGTATCCCCCATCAATAAATAATATTTTCTGTAGCACAGGAAGGTCGCTCTGATCTTGAAACAAGCTGAGAAAGTGTTAGCGTTGAACAAACCTTCTGAGCACTGATTTCACTCCCAAATATTCTGTGATTCACCCAGCCGAGGTGTAAGTAAACATTTTGATTCAGTGAGAGAGATGGCAAGCAGAATCCAGTCACATTAATGCGCGTTGGCATTAGCGTGCATGTGGTGTTTGCTTCATTCCATTTCAAAAAATTAAATTCAGCATATTCATCCTTGCCTGACAGCTAATTAGCAGGCGATTTCAGCCATCCAGAGTATAATTTCAACCCCAAGAAGCTAAGCAAATGTTATTTTGCTTTTGAAGGAAATAGCCACAGCAAATCTCATGCATTTTACTCCATATGGGAAGGGTGAAACAGCTGCAAAAAAAAAAAATGTTTTCTTTCTTCTTTCTTCCCCTTGAGACCTAGCCTAATAGAGTCCTGGCAGGCCTTGAACTTACTATGTAGCTCAAGCTGGCCTTGAACTCCTGACCCATACACCACAAGGACCTCCTAGACATGATTGACTCGATGATGAATGCATACTGAAAATCAGGTTTGATCCAGTTAATTGCCTGACTACACAGCATCAAAGACTTGCTAGGACATCACAAGGAATGGAGAGCAAACATGAAACAAGCCCCTCCTATTGGCTGTTTTTGGTGATGTCGTCTGGATATGTGTCCCTGGGAAGCTCTGGTACTGAGGCCTGGTCAGCAGTCTGTGCACTCCTGGAGTTATTGTGAGATCTTTGCAAAGTGGGGCCTAGTAGAAGGAATTTAGGCAATTGAAAACAAATCTTTGAAGTTTGGGGACCAGGACTGTCTTTTGCTTTTCAGCTGCACAAGGGGTGCGACTTCCTTGGCTTTTCAGTTCTACTATGGGACCGTGAGAAGCAAGACCATGGACTGACACCTCCGAAAGCATAAGCCAAAACGAATCTCCGCAGCCGCTGTTTCACACTGACAGACAGTTTCCCTGTGATCCCGCTGCTCCCCTGAATCTGAATCCACAGCACCCACCTAAAAGCCATGCCTGGCAGTGCAAAGCTGTAACCCTGGGGCTGGAAGTCAAGAGCAGGGATGAGGGATCCTGATGATGTGCTGGCAAGACAGTCTAATAAAAATGGTTCAGAGAGAGATGTGGGGAGCAACCTTGTCTCAAAACATAAGATGGAGAGTGATAGAGAAAGACACTGATAACAACCTCTGACCTCCTTGTGCATTCAAACCCATGTGGATGCGCGCACGAACATATGTACATTCAAATACCGTGCATTCACAGGCAAAGAATGTGTGGCGTTAACACATTCTAAGTTCTTAGATTCTAATTAGTATCTGTTCCTATGTTACAATTTTTCAGCCTCGAATAATGATGCTCTCAGGTACTGAGTATACAGTTTGGAACATTTTGCTCATCTGTAACTGGAGAGTTAATGCTTTGAGCTTTGTTGGAAAGCACTGGGTCAAAACTAAGTGTTGCCAAGCTTCCATCTTGTTGAGGGAAAGCTGAAAAGAGGTGATGTTGCTTCCTTTGAAGGATCTCATCCTTGGGCAGTGCAGAGCTGGCTGTATTCACTTCACCGGAACACTCCACTGCACGAAAACACGGTCACTTTACATTAACAAATGAACACAGTTTTTATGGAACCAATAAACTGGATATTTACAATGAATAAGAAGTGATCGTAACTCAGTGGGGAACTCAGATGCCAATGGGCCTTGTCTATTTGAGAGGTCATTGTATCCCCCAGATTGGGTGGGGGGATATAATATAGATACACATAGCTGGGAAACTGAGGCTCGAAGATGTGGTGCTTAACCATCAGAACACTAAATCTGTCCATATATTCAGTAATGAATAAGATGAACTCTCTCTCTCTCTCCCAATCATTTAAGTTCATTTAGCGGCAGGGTTGGGACCCAAGCCAACTCTTTCTGTCATATGACCCCTCTCCACTAAGAGACCAGTATTCATAAGCCTATGCATGCCACCTTCTGCAAACATGGGACTTTCCACCCCTTGCTCAGGCCCCCCTTAGCTATTTTGAGCAATCTCAAGGGTGTCTGGCATGGAGCCAACAGCAAGCCCAGTCAGCTCCCAGAGCATGTTCCCTGTTGGGCACTGTCACCTCTGCGCTAACTCCTGCTGTCTGCCAAGCTGTGTTCTCTAAGCAGAGACTGCCTGCCCTCCCGCCCTGAGAGGACATCAGCATGGGGCCGTGGGCTCTCAGAATTTTAGTAGGAACCTGTCCCCTCTGATAGCCACAGGAATCAGGTTTGAGTCCTCAGCAGAGTGCAGTTGGGGTGCTAGCTTTGCGGTCACCCCTGCTACTACCCAAGGGTACATCACCACGTCAGCTCATCTTCCCGCGGAGCAGGGACGCTGCTGCCTTTTCCTCACTTAGCACTTTCTGTGAGCCGCATAGTGTTTGGGCATCTGATGGAGCGTAACATCCCTGTGAGGCAGCTGTTATTAAAATGGTCATAATATGGATGAATACACTAAGGGCCAAATATGTGTTTAAAATAAAAAATAAATAAAAATAAAAGGGGCCTGTGGTCACAGGAAGTGCAGCAGAGATAAAATGTTGACCCATGGTCTTCGGAATCCATGCTGTGGACCAACCACTTTCAAGTAGAATCCTCATTCCATGTCAGAATTTTCTGGCACCTGCACTCTGCCAGCCATCAGCCATTCCTATCCATGTGGGGAACCCCTCAGCTACAGTTAGGTGCCCAGCTCAGATTCAGGATCCTCCCTATAGTGAGGGTTCTGAAGTGGCCCACTCCATGTCTGAATGCCTGCATGGTAACGCTTGCTCTTGTTTTTGTTTTGGTTCTTTTGAAGGCAGCACAATCCTGACTGGTCACATGGCAGTCTCTGCGCTGACTCTGTCTAAATCCTATTCTTTTTTTTTTCAGCAAATTTTTTATTTTTTATTAAAAATTTCCACCTCCTCCCATTTCCCTCCCCCTCCTCCCACTCCCCCTCCCTCTCCCTCTCCAGTCCAAAGAGCAGTCAGGGTTCCCTGCCCTGTGGAAAGTCCAAGGTCCTCCCCACTCCATTCAGGTCTAGGAAGGTGAGCTTCCAAACAGACTAGGCTCCCACAAAGCCAGTCCATGCAGTAGAATCAAAACCCAGTGCCATTGTCCTTGACTTCTCAGTCAGCCCTCATTGTCAGCCATGTTCACAGAGTCCGGTTTGATCACATGCTCCATCAGTCCCAGTCCAGCTGGCCTTGGTGAGCTCCCATTTGACCAGCCTCGCCATCTCAGTGGGTGGGCACATGCGTCCTGACTTCCTTGCTCATGTTCTCCCCCCCCCCGCTTTTGCTCCTCATTTGGACATTTGGACCTTGGGAGCTTAACAGTAAAAAACAATGACATCTTGAATTTTGCATGCAAATGGATGGAAATAAAAAACACTATCCTGAGTGAGGTAACCCAGACCCAAAAAGTTGAATATGGTATGGACTCACTCATAAGTGGATTATAGCCATAATTAAAGGACATTGAGCCTATAATTCGTGATCCTAGAGAAGCTAAATAAAAAGGTGAACTCAAAGAAAAACATATAGTTGTCCTCTTGGATACTAGAAGGAGATAAGATTGCCAGGCAAAACTTGGGAGACTGGGGGTGAGGTGGGGGTAAGGGGAGAGGGAGAGAGAGAAGTGAGAAGGGGACGTTGGGAAAAGATTGGGGGAATGGGATGGTTGGGATGGAGGAAGGGTGGATATGGGAGCAGGGAAGTAAATATCTTAATTAAGGGAGCTATTGTAGGGTTGGCAAGAGACTTGACTCTAGAGGAGTTCCCAGGTGTCCACAGAGATGTCCCCAGCTTGTTTCTTGGGCAGCTGAGGAGAGGGCGTCTGAACTGGCCCTCTCCTATAGTCACACTGATGAATATCTTGTATATCACTATAGAACCTTCATCTGACGATGGATGGAGACAGAGACACACATTGGAGCACTGGACTGAGCTCTAAATCCTATTCTTCTGCTCAAGGTCACTGTATGTTTCTACTTTGTTTTCTCCCAGTAATACAACACCTAGACTAGTTGAAATGCTGGGAAAAGGTTCATTTTGACTCATACTTCCACAGGTAACATGGTCAAGGAGCTGCATTTGGTGATAATCTTTTCATTTAGTCTCACAGTGTGGTACAAGGAAGTGTATGACAAGAGGCCAGGAGTGTGTGTTTGTGTGTGTGTGTGTGTGTGTGTGTGTGGGTGTGGGTGGGTGGGTGTGCGTGCGTGCGTGCATGGATGGATAGATGTGTTCTGGTTTCTTCTATTGTAGGGACCAAATTATACAGGCCCATATTCCTACATTGTCTGGAGATCAGAGAATTCTGAGCAACCTACAAGGTGCAATTTGCACCTGCCACACAGAAGGTGGTCACCTATCCTTTTGATAGTGAAAACAACCTGACACCATCCTAAACGAGTGGTCAGGATATGAAATGTCATTCTGCTCCTTCTATAGTAATTTAGGAGGTCACCTGGGGAAGAGGTGTTTTTCAGACTTCCTGACAAAATGGGCATGGGTGCGGATGTGAGAAACCAAACATAGCTATAGATCTAAGTCATTTTCCCTTCCCCCCACCTAGGAAACAAGAGGCTAATAAATTCTCTTTCCATTTATGTTTTGATATAAAAGCTGTTTGGATAATAAATGTGGGCAATCTTCAGGATTTAAGTGAATGCTGAGACTCCATCTCGATATTGTCATGTGAACTGTGCCCCATTTATTCCCACACCTCCACTTTGGCACGAAAAATGGTTTATGACTGGGATGGTCCCCAACATATTGGCACCCACAATGTGGAGCTGACTGGTAAACCCCAAA